ACAACTCGTTGAGATGTTGAGTAACATCTGAAATGGTTTCCTGTGTTTGAGGTGTTGGGAAAGAAAACTTAGTCCACTTGAGCTCAAGGCTCCAAACTCACACGAGACTCGGCTCCTTTAGATAGTTGTTCACCACCCACAAGGCGGCTCCTGCAGATTCTTTTACATCCATCATTACTGAATTATTGTGCTCGATCTTCATTTTCACCCTGTCATTTCAAGCGGAGAGCAAACCGAAACGTTAAATCAGAAGCAGATTAAGATGGATGCACAGATTAAAAGGTTGGAGACAAAGAGCACTGCTTTCCACAAAATTATTTTTAACAGCTTGAGGAGTTTCAAGGGAGTTAAAGTAAACTTACAAATTGTACTTCACTCAGCAGCTAAATCAACACATATTTTTATTCCCAATGGAATATAATAAACACATCAAATGTTGAAACTAAGCAATTGTACAATTTTTGGGGGGGAAAAAGTGATTTTGAATTTGACGGCGGCAACACATCTTACATAGATTTGGACAGGCAAAACAAAAAGCCCTAAATAAGAACCAGCTTGAGGAACATTTTACAACCATTTAGGTTAATTATCAACATTCAGTAAGAGGACTGAGTGTGAAAAGAGCATCTTTCAGAAGTAAAAATGGGCAGAGGTTCACCAGTCTGGAAGGAAATAGACTTCAGATATCCCATCATCCACAGTTCATAATAGAAGATTTAAAGAATCCATAGAAACCCATGAGCTCCATGGCAGACCTTAAGGCTGAAAGTCAGTTTTGGATGGTTGATGATCTTTTGGCACGGGGGTCACTGCATTAAAACAGATCTGCATCTCTTCTGGACATCACTTTACGGGCTCAGAATTACTTCCACAAATGTTTCTCTTTAAACGCAGTTCACCATGACATCCACAAATACTGCTTAAAGCTCTGCCATGCAAAGAAGAAGCCATATTGGAACACCATCCAGAAACGCCACCGTTTTTCTGGACCAAAGCTCCTTTGAAACCGAATGAGGCAAAGAGGAAAACTGTTCTGTCAGTTGTCAAACAAATCCACAAAAACACCATGTCCAACATACTGAAGATGAGAGGGACCACTCAGCCCATTTTCTGCACACAGTTCAAAAGCCTGCCTCTCTGATGATATGGGTGTGCATTAGTGACTCTGGTATGAGCAGCTTACACATCTGAAAAGACATAATTGCTGCAGAAAAATAGATACCGGTTTCAGAAAAACATGCTCTCATCCAGCAAAACATCCACTAAAGACGACTCAGGACTGTTGAAGAGCTAGAACCCTCCATCAGTCATGGACGAGACAACGTTCCCTCCAAGAACTCCAGCAGCTGGTCTCCTCAGTTCCTCGATATAGATACTGTTGTTAAAGAAGAGGGGGTGCACAGTGATAAACACGATCCTGTCTCATATTTATTTTAGATGTATTGTTGCTGTAGTCATCACAATTATCTTTTCTTCCAAAAAAAAAAATCCACATTTTTCACAACAGGTGTTTAAAATAAGATTTTTGCTTCTGTATTGAAGGATCCTCTCTGAGGAGGATGCTGGATTCCTGATAGCTCTGGCCTTAATAAAACATGAGGAGACCAGGTGAGGTCAGCTCTGGGGTCAGACTGTTGACCTCAGGGTCAGCGAGCTGAATGTTTAACTTGCAGGCTCTGTTTGCTTTGCGCCGGGTCTGAAATTGAAACGCACACGCCTCTGAGAAAAGAGAGAGTTTCAGAAACCGTTCAGCTCCACACGTGAATCAGCTGATTGTGTTGCTCTGGAAGAATTTTTTTTTTTTACGTGCACAAACACAGCCACGCAGCCATGTGGAATGCATTTGTGCCGGCCGGCTGCGGTGTCGAGTTGCAGGAGGTGTTCCGGGCTGTGGCTCTGGCATATCTGTGTTTGTTTTATGGCACAGCCCCTCCCTGAGGAGATGACAGTCCTACAGGGCCAGAGGGGATGAAACCTGAGATAGGCAGAGCTTCGTAGTAAACAACATCTCCTTTATGAGGCAGAGGCGGCTGTCTGCTGCATTCAAAGACCTGAGAGGAGAGAGAGACGTTTTATTTATGCTCATAGAGCTGAAAAGACAAGTCTCCAGCAGACCAGGGTGGTGTTTTCCTGTGGAGTCTGAAGGAGCTGAGATGGTTCTGAATTCTGATGATCTGCAAAGATTTCATCACACCTACTCCTCACTCACTCTGAGATGACGTAAACCAAGCCATATCATCTGTGATAGTAGCTGATTGGATTCAGTGGGTTTCATGGACAAGTATAACTGAGTATCATCAGCATAACAATGAAAAATTACCCCATGCTGTTTAATAACTTTACCCAATGGAAGCATACAGTATACAATATAAAGAGTATTGGTCCAAGCATGGAACCCTGAGGAACTCCACGACTAACTTTGGTGTATGAAGAAGTTTCATTATTTACATTTACAAATTGGAATCTTTATAAATAAATCTTTGAAGTTTATAGGTGCTGATTTTGGATTTTAAATGATTATTGATCAATTCAGGTTTACCTGCCAATTAACACGTGACATTAACCGAAAACCTAATAGGTTGAAAACAAATCGACTTAAATTAGCTTTTCAGTTTCAAATAGTTTCAAAAAATTAATGAAACACAGATGAGACCTTAAAATGCTAAACTAAACTGAAAGTTTTTTTTTAGTTTCCTGCCATGTTTCCCAGCAGCCACCCTGTTGACACTTTGCAGACGTTAAAACATTTTTTTTTAGTTTGTCAGACTCGAAAATTAATTCTCTGCTTGTCTGATTCTGCCATATCTACATGCAGGCTAGTCATGTGACTCAAGCTTCCATGTGGAGTGGAGTGCTTTGTTTATGTGGAGCGCCTACCTGCATTTCAGAATTGCACATCTGAGAAATGTAAACACGGTCAAACTGCACCATTTGATACAGTTTAGGTTAACTTTTTTTTAATGTTTGCACTGAATACCTTTCATTTGCACTATAAATCTTTAATGAATAATAATAACTGCATAAATAAATTTGAACATAGGTGAACTTGTCCTTTAATGCCTTCCTTTCTTTTATTTTCTGCCTCAAATTTACATCATAAAACCACAAACACACTAAAACCTGCTGGGTTATGTTGATAACTCAGTTCTTGGTCGGTTGTGTTGATCAAATATGGGTCAAACTTTTTGGATCAGACATGAGCCATGCCATTTGTCACAGTCCACCACTTTAAACTTAATGTTGACAGAATTTGGACCTGACTGGACCTCTGCTTCAGGGTGTAACAAGTGAAGGAACTACAGTAACAACTTGTGAGGACATGTTTAACCAGGTTGGTTTTATTATTAACTTTAGTTTGGGTCTGTTCGGGTTCCTTAAGTCGCAGTGTTTGCTGACGCTAATAGAAGTTAGCACCAGCTACCTTGCACCAGCACAACAGTTAATTATCTATTAGATCATTTTGTAAAGTAGCAGTGATGTCATGTGATGAGGTCAGAGGTCAAACGGGATAAATAAGGTAGATTATGACCTAAAAATCAATGAATTTTCTGAAATTCACAGTATTTTTTTCAAATAAATACAAAGCCGTGAATCAGTTTGACTGAATGCTAAGAGATAAATGATTGTTTCTGGAAAGTAAAAAAAGAATAAAATGTTTTAATGTGAAGTAAACAAATGCTGTTTAAGTTTGACAGTGTACATTGATCAGCTGATCAAATAACTTTACAACAGATCTACTGGATAAATAAGTATAAATAATGAACTGATTATGCTTTTTTGCTTGTATAATATAGCACATATTTGGCACATATCTTTCTTTAGGTAGCTAAAATTCTTGACAATATGTGTAGTCATGGCAACCATTCAATAAATAAACTGAGTGATAAATATAGACAAACATAAACAACAAGTAAAGGCAGTTTTACCTAATTTTCTGTTAAAAACAAAACAGAGCCAGCGTTGCCTCATTAAAACTGAAAGTCTGGACAGAATTTCAGGAGTTATCTGATAAAATACGTCAATACAGGAGTAAAGTTTATTCAGATACGTGTAGGTCTTTTGTTGTTTTTTTTGTTTTTGTTTGCTTGTTTACTGTTGATATTACTTATTAACAGCTCGGTTGCTACACAACTTATTGAAGCGCATCTACATTTATAAATTAAAAAAATAAATGAATAAAACCGCCTGAGTCTCCATTTCATGAAAACTGTGACTTTCTGCATTCAACTTGGACTAATTATTCAAAAAGACTAGCTTTTCTTTTTTTTTAAACTTTTAAATAAAAATTAAAAATTATTTGACTAACCAAAAATATTTGTTTTTATGTATTTGATGTTCTACTATCCCCTCACAGCTTGGGAATAAATAAAAAAAAGCCCACCAAACAAAAGCTTTGGACTCGGGAGGATATGTCTCTGGTCAGGGGGACCAGTGAAGGAACCCCCTTCCCCCTTGGGGCCGCCCCTGGCTGATAACCCAACCCTGCTGAGTTCACATTTGGTGTTCAGAATGTAAAACATCTCATTTGTTTAATTTGTGAATGAGGCATGTGCGGAAAGAAAGTGGACGATTTATTTGTGTGTAAACTGTTCTGAAAAGTTTTTTTAAATGAACTCATCATTTATTTATTTATTTTTAGTTTCAGCTCTGATTCGTTGCACGACAGATTGTTTCATGTGGACCTTCCTCCTCCTCCTCCTCCTGAAAGGAGTTTAGGCGCTGCGCTGTTTCCTTTTGTTGCTGAGCGCAGCCCCTACTGTCCCTCCCCCTTCCTCCCTCCCTGCCTCCCCCTCTTTCCTTTTTTTCCCCTCCACCCATCCTCCCATCTCGCTCGGTTTCATCCAGGGTGACGCCAGCCTCTCTCACCCCGCCCCGTTCAGCCCAGTCCGCTGCGTTCATTTCATTCCTGCTCCCATTCCGCGCATATTTCGCATCCTTGGAGAGACGCGGCGCATTTTACGCACCGCGCGCGCGCCTCCGTCACAGCCCGAGCCGAGCGGGGACTCAGGAGTTGGGCCGAGAGGTTCTTACCGGCGCCGCGGCCACCCGGATCCGTGGGAAAGTGGGAATTAAAGCGTAAAAGAGGCGTTTGGATCGAGGTAAGTTCCGGAGGAGGATTCCTCCCCCCCCCCCCCCCCCCCCCCCCCCCCCCCCAGGCTGAAAAAGCACCGGACGGTTTGTTTTGTTTGTAAAACCCTGAAGTGACCAGCGGAGCTGAAATTACAGCGCCGAGGGCACGTGCGGTTGTTAAACAAGTCCGAGAAGCTGCTGGTTTGTGGCGCGCGGAGCTTCACGTGCAGCTGTCTCTCCAGTTGAGTCCCCACCAAACGTGAACATGTTGGCCTCCGCGCGGAGAGGGAGCGAGGCGAGGGGGGACTTGTTGCATCTCAGGCCGGGAGGGGGGCGGCACAAACCCCACCAGGACAAACATGTAATCACGTCATTTATTTACTTCCAAACAAAAACACCCAGGATCACTTTTACTAACTAAAATATCACACGCTGCCTCAGAATGGTTATTTATAGGTAGAATAAATCCATTTATTATGTTAGGTTTTTATTTTCTGCACTCAGGACATATTTTAAATATTTTTTTTTTTGATGATATTTAGGATCAGAGTTTTGAAATGTATTTCTCATGTGATGTCAGCTAAAACACAAAAACTAACCGTCATCACAATAATATTAGTCTGCTCAGTCATACGCTGTCATGAGCATGTTCTGCAGGTTCATAATTATTTATTCAGTCCAGCGGAGTCTGTTGATGCTCACCTGGTCTGGATGAGAGGAACATCTGGGTTTGTTTCAGTGCATCTCAGCTCGTATTCGTAATATCGCTCCTTGCATGTTTTTCTAATATTGTGCACGATCGTGGTTCAAAATGACCTGTTCCTTCTCTGCTGTCCAGCTCTTTATTCTAACTCTTGTATTTTGTTGCAAACGTTCGTTTTAAAACAGCGTTGCCTTTGAAAGGTGTTGCTCCTCTGGACCGTTGTCCGCCTGATGAAAGGTGCCACCAACAAACGACGTCCTTTTGTTTTAAGGAACGATTAGAGCAGCCGTCCCGCCAGTCGCCCAGCACAAGTGATGGATTGGAGCAACAGGTAGAGGAAGTGGCTGCAAACGCCTTAAATCTGCTGCGTTTGTCTCTGGTGTCGTATTAAAAGTCATTTAAACTGTAGAAAGCATAAAAATGTCAATTTTAACACCAAACGGGCTACTCACATCTACCACTGATTATCAGACTTTTAATCCACTTTTTAATACGAGGGTTCAAATGTTCAGCCTAGTTAATTTTCTGGCATGTTTTATGCAACGTAATGTTCAGCAAATGTTAATTTGACGTTCATTCCCTTTGTGTCAGACCTTCAGCTCCTGGGCTGTTCCCACCGTCTGAGCTGATAGTTGTGTTTTGTACTTCCTTCTTAACTATTGATTAAAGGACTGCTCTTGTCCTTTTATAGCCTGAGATCTGTGGCAGCGCAGGCCAAACCACAATGTAATTATTGGAGAAAATTACAGCCCGTAGGATGCACACGGGGCAGATGCTCCTCTTCTGCAGCAGTAATCCGTTTGTCAGATGTTGGGAGGTATGTCGGATTAAAGGAGGAGAATTCTGAGCATATTAGCTGTGGCTTCTGTTTTCATGGGTCTGTGTGGATTAATTTATGCTCGTTCACAGTGAAATTATCACAGGATTTTTTTTATTTTTTATAACCGGCTCCAATTAAGTTTGTCTGTTTTGCCTTGTTTTGTTTTTTTCTAATAATGTAAAAAAAAAGAAGTTTTGCTCAGCTAGCAGTCTGGAAGAATAATATCAGTGTAACCAGAAAATGTTAATGGTTATTGTAAATTGTATCAAACGTTGCAGAGAAAGAGTTGACTCCAGTAACTGTCCAGATTTATTGACGTGTTTTCTAGAATGCAGGCATGCACTCAAAGTAAATAAAGCACTTTTATCTGCGTACTTTTATCAACAGTCCGAGCATCAATCCTACTTATCCACGGAAAGTTTTTGACTTCCAGGGACGTCGTCGACGTTGACTTGCTTTCAGTCACTTTGGCTGTTTTTGTTGGTAAACAAACATGTGGCAGCTGTTTACAAATTTTGCTTATAAATTTTCAATATGAGGAAAAAAACAACTGTGCAGGTTTTGTTTCTTGATCATTTTCTTTTGAACCGGATGACTTTGCATCGAGTACCATCAGGTCTTCACGAACTAAAATTAAACTTTAGGAAGTTTTGTCTCATCGTGTGAACGTTTATGAAGCGTTCACACTGTTGTCATCCATTTTTCTCCCGTACGTTTTACGGCATCTTTCTCGTTCCACAATTTTTGTGCTATTTCAACAAAATGTTCAGCTCGTTCAGGACAATCCTGCTATGACTTTTGGTATTGGTGCAACTTTAGCTTTTTGAAATATTTAGCCTTTTTTTCCTCACAGAAAATGAATTGAGCTCATTTTACATCCTTCATATCTGTTCACAACCTTTTACTGCTCCTTTCACATTTTGCTCTGGTTCAGCTTCTTTCAGCTTCCTTGTGCAACTTTAAAGATTTTCCAGCTAATTTCAGCTGTTTTGTGCTTCTTTCAGATTATTTCTGCTAACTACAACATTTTTGTGCTTCTTCTAACTTCTTTCTGCTAATTTCACCTTGTTATGTTCCTTTCAGCTTATTTCTACAAGTTTCAGCCTTTTCTTCAATTTCAGCTACTGTTTAGCTGTTTTTATGTTAATTTAAGCATTTTCAACTAAATCCACATTATTAGCACTCATAAAAAATGTTCAGCCTAATAAAGCAAAAATGTGCTTTCTCCACTTGCTTCTGGTCATTTAACCTTCTTTCTGCTTTTTTAGCTACCGTTCAGCTGTTTTTTTTCGTGTGTGCAGATTTCTTCTTTTTTCAGATAATTTCCACTTTTTGTGCTCATTTCTGCTTCTTTAATCCTAATTGGGTATAATTGTGTTCTCCACTTTCGTCTGGTATTTTAAGCTTCTTCCTGCCTTTAGCTACTTTTCAGATATTTTGGCTAATTTCAGCTTCTTTTTTTTAAGCTAATTTACTAATTTTAGTGCAAATTTCTGCTCACTTAAGCCTAATTCAGCAAATTTGTTCTTTTCTTCTGCTAATTTAGGCTTATTCTTCCATTTCAGCTACATTTCAGCATGTTTTTAGCTAATTTCAGCTGTTTTTCAGCACGTTCTTCAGCAATAAGCATTCCCACTGCATTTTCGCAGGAAATGCAACTTCTCTAGTTTTAAATTTTATTCAAACTTTATAAAAGTTCAGTTGAAAGTGTCTGCTCTGAGTGTCCTGTCAGTGTAACAGGAAACAAAGGAGAGGCGTTTGTGCTCGTCATTGTTTAAGCTGCAAAGCTTTGTCAGTCACTCTGAGCAAACAGCCTCCACTTTTCCTCCCCCTTCCCCCGCTCTCCTCCTCCTCTCCAGTCCGTTGACATCTGTTTTGAGTCCTCCACGCACCTGTAGAGACCAGGGGAGTGTGTGTGGGTGAAGGAGGGAGGTGCAGAATGCAAATCCAGGCGTTTGTTCTGGGCCTGAGCAACGCAGATCGACTGACTAATGACCATTTGGTGTGTGTGTGTGTGTGTGTGTGTGTGTGTGTGTGTGTGATGGTCCAGGCCTCATTGTTGCAGCAGCAACAGGCGTCGCTGGATGAGGACGCACCATATGTTCTCTGTGTGCTTTAGCCACAACTGCTGTGTTTGTGCTCACGCTCGTGTGTGTGTGTTCAGCTTCTTCACCAATGCTGCTGCAATATGGTGGAGTTTGGAGCGGCGGGGCGGCTCGCAGCCTTCCTCCTCCTCCTCCTCCTCCTCCTCGGTGTCTCATCTGTTGTGTCACAAAATCTGGTACGCAGATTTTCTCTGGGCTGGGATTAGAAAGGGAAATCTTCCTGGCATGAAGTGTTGTGAGTCTGCACTTGGTTTCTAGTTAGAGCTGTGTGAGGAGTCAACAGGTGACGTGAGGGAGAGTTTTCTGGTTGGCTCTCTTTGGATGCTGCAGACGAGTCCGGTCAGAGGTTAAAAAGACGTGGGGTGTAGGGGTGGGGTGCAGGTTCAGCTCGTATGTAATGAAATGTAGCGAGCGGAGCCGGTTTATTAGAACAGCGCTGAGTGTTTTTTGTGTTTGGCATGGGGGGGTAAAGCAGTTAGGTGGGGAGGGGAGCAGCTTTGTTTAGAGGATGGAGGGAACAATGGGCATCCTTCTGGGTGGGGTGGGGACTGGGGGTTGGCAGCAGCAGGTCAGTGGCTCCTGTACTGACTCGTCTCTCACCATCTGAACCTTCAGCTCAGTGTCAGAACCTTTTTTATTTTATTTAATTTTTACTTTTTACTGTAAAGATTCTTCAGTTTCATAAAAAAAACCACGAACTGTTTGTCTGTTTCAGGGTGAATGTTAAAACGTCACCGAGTCAGAAACTCTACATTTTTCCACTCTTCTGTATTTTGTTTGTATTTGTGCTTCCTCCGGTCACACGGTGTGCCGAGCAGCGCTGCCTCTCCAACATGTCCATGCATTCAGCCGTGCAGCTGAGGTCCTGTTTAAATAATAAAAAGACATTACTGAGTGGTTTATTCTGCGAATAACCTTTAAATAGTCCGGCTGGTCTACTAGAGGAGAAACGCGTCTCTCTTTTTAAGGATAACGCTGTTTTAAAACCAATGTTTGCAACAAGCCACAAGAGTTGGGTGAAAAATATATACAGGTGTGTCTCAACAAATTTAAATATCGTGAAAAAGTTCAAAAAACTTTTGCCAGTCATTTCAGAAAGTGAAACTCATGGATTCTTTACACAGAGTGAAATATTTCAAGTCTTTATTTCTTGTCATTTTGATGATTATGGCTTATAGATAATGAAAAAAACAAAAACTCAGTGTCTCAGAAAATAAGAATATTGTGAAGATGTTCAATATTGTAAACTCCTGGTGTCACATCCTGATCAGCTGATTAAGTTTATTTTTTCTCCTGTCGTTCATACACGTACATGTGATGGAAGGAAATCGTGTACACAGGGTCTCAGTTACATCCAACAAAAGTATAAATTGTAAAGGAAAAACGGTAATAAGATCTAAG